CCTTTGTGAGTGCAAGTACTGGAACAAGAATGTGGATATATCTGCAATGAGAGCGATCATTAATGGACTGGATCAGAAATGGCACTGGGAGGTCGTGTTGCTTTTTTGTATGAAGCTGGCAAGCGATTGTAAGGAATGGGAGAATCCGGACATCGGATGTGTCAAGGTTAATTCCCAAGATGGTGAGGTCGACTGGATTTTTCAGCCCAATCGAAACAATCGAATACGTCTACTCGTAGTCGTCGAAACACTCAATAACTAAAATAAAAAGCGGTGTCATTGATCATATTTTATTTTTGTTATATATATACTTGTGTTATAGTTGCCCTTAATAGTACAAAAACACTCGCAACCATCAAATATTTATCTACAAGAGGAGAGCTGCGGGCGCACGCTACCGATGAAGAGTCAGCTGTTGATCCCGTTGTCTGTAGCTTAAAAACGCGCCATTTGCGCATGTTAAGTTTTTTCCAGTATAGCTGCTTCGTGACTTATCATAGTTTGATGATGGCTGATGAATAGCGCTCCAACAAAACATGATCAATAACACCGATCATTCCAAAATTGTTCTAATCTTATATTACACAACTAAAGAAACACCAATAGCGCCAAATCTCCTACATCATACGACTCATCATCAATTATGAATGATCCAATTCTCGAGGAATTTCGACAGCGCTGCATGTTGAGTGTCAATTCATTACTCCCAAGAGTTTGCCCTTCGCCAGGAGAGCTATTCGCAATCGGTTTTGATCGCCAATCAATCCATGGTTCATGCTTCGAAAGCCACGGTATACCTAAATTCAGGTCATACCATTTGCCCATCTGGAGGATTGTTGGTATGGTGGCGAAATAAATGAATCGATGAGAGCGGTTATATGAGACTTGATGACCCTCTTTATCACGCTTCACTGACGTGAAAACGCAAACTTGCCGATCCAAGTGAAAGTGATCATGCAAACCGTACAAAAAGCACACGTCTTCATTACAGTTTTGAGTATGATACATCGATTTCAACCTCATTAGATCAAGCTGATAGTAAGAATCGATTGCTTGGGTCTATTTTCAAGAATAAGGCACTGCTTGAGCCGACTGGTTTGGAAAAGAAAATCATTTTAACCTCACGATCATAGGTACAACGTCTCAGGTGGATATAATAGGATACATGTGGATTTATGGTTTATCAATTAGCGTATTTGGAATTGATAGTGGGAGAGTCGAGCCCGCGATGACCAAATCATTCAATTGGAGGTCAACTTGTCACAAATTTATCAATTTAGTGAATGATCGCGACGATGTCGATCTATTTACTAATGAAGACGCCGCTAAAGTTGCAAAGGCCTATGACACACGCGATGGTGAGGCTCGCCATGGAAATGATGAATATATATATTTAGTTCTCTTACCAATGCTGATAACGATGTGAAGAAAATTCTTATGGACTACTACATCAAAATAGTATTTGAAGGAGTTCGAATTCCTTTTGGACTAAAACCAACAATAGATATCAAAAGTGGTGTGAAAGCTAATCACACTTACTTCTTTGGTGAGCCTACCGCAGCAAAACCATTTCAAATTAGAAACCACGAGAACAAAGCGGATTCTGGCAACGTTGTTAGCGAGAATTTTGAAAACCATTAGATGGGTGGACACTCAAGTCTTCAAACTTCAGCGGAAGACTCATCATACTTTTCATTGCGGTGCATTCCGCACCAGTGTCCAGCTTCACTGAGACACAGCCTTTACTTCAATCTAGTGCACTCAAAAGCATTCATCCCTTTTCAGCAACACTTTGCTTCCGCGCGACGCGCCGGTGTCAATCAAGACTAAAAAAACGACCTTTACCTTTTACGCTCGCTGTGACCACGAGGAGACCACTCCGACTGTGTTGTAAACAAAGGGTACCGATCATTTGAGGGCTAAACCCTCATGAATGGTTCTACCATCCGGTCATATCTGCCGTGATTGCCCACGTAAGAGATGAACCTCCCAATTCGGTTTTTGTCGTGATGGCCCCGAGTCACTTGGTAACAATACAATGAAGCGTTAGGGAAATGCGGAACATAGCAGATACATGACAATCTCCTGGGCAGTTACACAAAGCATCCTTAGGACCTTATAAATTTACTTCGAGCTTTTATAAGTCTCTAGTCTTGAGAGGACCATAAGTGAATCCCTCCATAAACATATTAACCGTCACTGCCTTTGGCAGTGGATCACTTGCCATACTGACACAAACTCACGGAGATTCTTTACATAGTCGTACAATGTGCCGTTGTCTTGATGGCATGACAAAAACGTCGACCGTTGTCAACGCCACATTCGGTTCAAGGAAAATCGATATCATGCTCTTTTCGGCTCTTGTCGCAAAGTAGCAATGGCGGTTGACTTCCCATGTCATTGTCCAATCCTTCACACGGGCATCCAAATGCGACATGGCACAGGCCACTTTACTACGGTCATCACGAATTTGAACCAGCGCGATAGCGATATTGAATTATCACCACCAGAACACAAGATTTTCATCTTCGTTCCCGTGATAGCTGTTCACCTTGCTTTTTACGAACGTTTCGTGTGTACCAACGATGTCACCACCACTTGTAAGGGAGGTGACGGGATTGGTTTCGGAATGTTCTGCGACAGAAATCTCAATAACGCTTGTTGTGATAAGTTATCTTGATCCAATAAAGCTCGCAGCTTCACAGCACACTTCCACTGCGAGTGTGCCAGGAACGAATTTTCATCCCTGTTGATGTGAGGTCAGCCACCGCTTACGGTGCCTACATTATGCATCGACAATTACATCGAAGTACGTTGAAATTACTTCTTGGGATGGGCTACACTTAGCCATTGCGTGAAGGTATATTTATGTACCTTCTGTATGCGCCGTAGAAACTAATATAGAAGATTATAGTATAGTGCTCCCAATATTTACACGTGATTTCTGATATGAGGTTACAAACATGTGTGATACATAATGCTGATTCCTACATGTGGATCTATACTGGTGATGGTATCAACGTGTCTCTGTCTTCAGAAATGGAAAGCGTACTCTAGTCACTTCTACTGGATACTTTCCACTAAGGTTACAATCCAAGCTTTCGAAGTTCAAGCTCCGTATACCCTAGATTTTGTATTAGTAAGACCTGAGTTTTAACCTCAGTACAGCCCTGGTTCATAAATCAGGCTACCAAGGTTTTATCAATAAAACCTTCAAGAGACTTTGGGGTGTCTTGCATGTAGCTAAGGACCATGACTCATTTTATTCTAGCTGCAAATGATTTTAAAAAGGGATTAAATAGTTCTTCTTCCCTCCACGCCACCAATTTATCGTCGCGCAAGCGTGTGTGTTGTGGTTGAGGAACTGTTTGTGAGCAGCACCCACTTACACCTGGTAGCTCTTCAAGTGATCTTTTCAACGACACTCGATTTTGGTTTTCTGACGCGGCTGCTGAGCACGTCGCGCATCCCAGTCCAAGTCATACTCTTATCCTTGTCCGAGCGACATGGAAGGAGCTGGGGTGCCACTCAGTAAACTGAAGTGTTGACGAACGAGATATTTCCACATTTGTCTTAAAATAAGTGTTTGGCACTCGAGTGGATGCGACAAGTCATCGGAGTAGCTGCAGTAGTCAGTTTACTGTAGTCGACTTCTCCGGATGACCAAAAGAACACAGCAGCTGGTTTCATGCATCATGTGATTATGGAATCTAAGAAGCAGGTCGCAACCCCTGTTTCCTCATACAAAACGATGCCACTGGAAACTGGGCGTGATTTATATTGTTGTAGTGAGGTCGAACCTCTCTCACGATGTTTGTTGAGTTGGATGCAGCAATCACCGCAAGAAAACTACGAGACCTTGCAGCAACTGTTTTTCACGAGGTCAAACCGTGCGAGTCAAGCAAAATTTTGGGCGTATGGGAAGCTTTCAGCCGATCCAAACTGCTATTCAAGCTTCGAACACGTCAAAGTCGAGCCAAAGGGCGATTGAGCCACCACAGAGTAAGTTCCGTGCGTGCAGAGTTCTTGAAGCTTTGTCAAGGTCGTTACGACCTTCACTTAAAGGCACAGCGTGCTCGCTGCTTGGTATAGAGAATCGTCGATGAGCCAATTGAGGTTTCGACTTAAGTTGTAACGACAATTGCAGGTGCTGATGCTCTAATCCAGAATTATTTGTTCCGTCAGTATCTCATGACGCTGGATGATGCCATCAACCATACGATGCAAGAAGAGTTCAGCATCAAGCAAGCCAAGTTCAATGGCTTCGTACCAAGGCAAGAGCGCCACCCAACCCGTACATGTGATGGTCTCAAGCCAATCGACATCTCGTACATGTTTACGCCGGGAAATGAGCGTCCTCACAATGATGGAAAGTGTTTCCGTTGTGGGAAGGCGGGTCATATTGTCCGGAACTGTAGAGTGTCTTTGTCGAGTCGGCAACCGACACAGGGCGCTCGTTTGGACGCGATCCCTAGAGGTCGTCAATTCGAACGCTTCCAACGGTAACAAACGGGAACGACTAGGAGGGGCGGGGCTTGCTACTGGGCCCGAGAAGAGTACTGTGGGTGTTGTGGATACACAGAACTCTGCCCCCAACGTGTATGATGCACATGCAGCTTCCACTATGAGTAGGCCGCAATATAAAAAAATTCGCTTGAAGTGTCTTGTTCTCGAACACTTCACTCATCGTCACAACTTGTACCTCAGGGGTCTTTTTGGTGGCCTTCGTATTCTTCTCTCGGGTCGTGTCGTTGCCTCTGATTACACTGTACTTTATACTATCATCGATCGTGACTTCCATGTCAATGACAAAGGAGACAATCTTTTTTCTGCTCCATCTCCAGTTGGTGTCTTGACTGTCATCTTCTTGGGCTTGTCCTGTGGACATGGGGGGCTATCGCACACCACACTTTCACTAGGGACATCTTTGAATTCTTCAGCTGATTTATTTGCTCAAACCATTTCTTTCGTCTTCACACAGCTCGAAATAGTGCTTTACGACTAGTCGACGACGCTCTCCACAATCATCCTGACAATGCTAGACTGATGACATCTTAACCATGGCATGCCTCCTAGGATGCTATCAAATCCATCATCGAGACCAAGTAAGTTAAATTAGTCATCACCTCGAAACTCCTCAAATTTCATTGCCAAGCAAATGACTTGCTTTGGCATCTTCATTCTTATTGCATTCGCTAAACGGTTGGTCATTTCTTCTTTCACATTTTGCAGGCGAATCCATTACCAGTCATAACTTGCGCTCGAACAAAGTTGTTCGACGCACCAGTGTCAATCAAAGCTTGTAGTGGTTTCTCAAAACCATCTTTAAAAAATTCTTGGACAATCAAAGTTGCGCTTTGCCTGAAACTTTCATCGCTACGAAGAAGCTGACTTCAATGTTATCCATCGCGTGAAGATTGGAAATCTGTCAGAATCAGTCAAAGAATTGTATGAGCAAAGTCGTGTATGGACTTGTCAAGCAATATGCTGACACAACCGGACGAATTGTCATCTGACAGAGGCATTCGTCATGAGATTGACATACTTCCTGGTACGAAGTATTGTATCACACGGCAGTGGCCGTTGCCAAAGAACAAGTCATTGCAATTGACGGGTTCTTTGTACAGCGACAGAAGGCTGGTCATGTGCGTGAGAGCAAGTCTTATCATAGTCAAAACTTGTGTATGAAGGAAGCTATAGGTGATTGGCGCATTGTCTACGCTATCAACAAATTGAACGAGGTGACCTACCTGCCCAGACTCCTGTTCCACGCAAGAATATGATTCTTGATGGAACGGCTGGCAGTACTAAGCTCAGTGCAATCGATCTGAAAGATGGTTTCTATTAGATAAGAATGTACAAAAATGATTTAGTACTAACTGCAGTTAGTAATCCGCCACATTCATCTCCTTTACGGAGTCGTATCGTCTGCATGAGAAGGTTGTCCTGGGTTTTTTGTGGAATTGTACAATATCCTAAATTACGATTGTACGGAAGTCGTAAGACACGAAATTACCAAAGAAACTTTCGGTTCAGATCCTCAGTCAATCGTTCAAAGCTATTCTCTGTGCGATCGTTCGTCATATGCCTGTGGGAATACTTAGTGATGCCACAAGGTTTAGATGACGCTCCCGCGACTTTTAACAGAGTGGTAACGAATCTTCTTCGTTCATTGAGAGAGTTTGCACCGAGTTACTTTGACGATGTATTTGTTCACAGTAAGAAAACGGATGAGAAGTCTGAAGCCGATGTTTATTGTTTATCTTGATCAACCTCGTCAAGTTTTCCAAGGTATGCGAGATAATAAACTCTACGCTCTCCAAAAAAGGTATTTTCTTTGCACCAGAGATTCCCGTTCGTGGCTGCTTTCTAGGTAAGAATGGCGTTCGTGTAGATCCGGAGAAACCCAAGGCTATCAATGGATGGTCGGTACCAAACAATGTAGAACAGCTGAGACAGTAATTGGGTCTGGCCAACTATTTGCACAAATAAACGCGCGATTCTGCAGCATTGGTCAATCCGGAACGACAATTAAGAAAAAAACGTTGAGTGGGATTGGCCAAATGATCATCAGGCGGTCTTTTCATATCTTCGCATTTCTTCGAGAGGAGGATAACTTCATCGAAGTAGTCGGCACTACTAGTACTACCACTGTTACGGGAATGGCCCGTCCATGTATACACACTTTTGTAAAAGGCTCAGCTTCATTGACACGCCTCACCGCGTGTTGCTCGCTTTCAGCAGGCCGTTGACTTACGTGAAGAGGAGGAAAGGGAAGTGACATTTATTATTATAGCCAGTAGGCTCTTAACCTCCCTAGCCTATCAAGTGCCCTCAGTTCTGATATAACAGAAATAACTGGAAGGGGATATACAGCTTTACATGGTGTTTAGTTAGTGTTGGACACACATAGCATGTGGTCCGCAAATTTTGTGTTTGGTCATCACACAGCTCGAAATCGTTTGATTCGTGGATTGCTTAAATTCGAATGGTACTCATCAGTGGCATTGCCTATGTTCGAGCATTGTTCGTGTAAGAGCTAGTCTGAATCCCCGTGCTATGATTATTCGTGCCAGAATTCGTTCGACACCGGAAGATGTCGAGACATTCGTACCCCATGACACAATTGAGTTAGTATTATTCTAATTTGAATCGTGTGCCAACACTCATTTGATTTGAAGTTCAAGTAATTGTCTATCTGACATTTTGTATCAATTTCTCAAATGCCACTTGTCTGACCAACTCTCAGTATTTCCGTTCTCTATCGTTGTCTTGAAAATAATAATAACCTTTTCAGAGATTATTCGAAATTTATTGTTGATCAATACATCATTCAGTATACCCATCAATCAAATCAATAATAAACTTATTGATCTCCTTAGGTGTTATCGCATCTGATTGACTTAGATATGAAATGTGGCCAAGCTACCTCACAATCGAAAAGATCTCAGCAAAAGAAAACATGGTGACGCTTTTCTGTGTGATCGTCGGTTTGAATGAAAACGCGTTCCCTGTGGACATCGATGCAAGCGAATGTGTCGATGACATGAAAAAAGCTATTAAGAAGATGGTCGATGCGGACGAATTCGAGCTATATCTCGCGAGGAAGGGCAACGCTTGGCTGGAGTCTGGCACGGAGATCGTCAAGAAACTTAAAAAAGGCGAAATGACTTCGATGATTGAAGATTTGGTTCATGAAGACAATCAACTCGATGGAGAATCTCGAGTGAATGATGTTCTTATGGATATGCCAGAACCGAAAACGAAGCAAATTCACGTGTTGGTGGTAATTCCGAACAAAAAGGTAGATGCATTGGCTGCAAACCGAGAATTTGCATCATCAATGACAGCAGCTGAACCGACGGAATTCTTCATCAAAGTTTACGAAGATCGATTCGAAGAGGAAGATTGGCGAGAGCTGACGTACTATCGATGTCGTGGACGATTTATCCAGAACAACTGCCAGGATTATTGTGCGTACATTTTGGACAAAATCGACGAGTTCTATGACGGGAATGAGCGCCCGATCCCGTTCATCTGCGTGGAAGGGTCATCAGGCATGGGAAAAACGCAATTAGCATTTGCATTGGGCGGCCGACGACCTTGGTATTACTGGCCGGCCATTTCAATTGGAATGTGTTCTCAAACTATTTATCAAACTTTCATCTCGATATCGAACGCGTTCGCTAGAGTGGTTAGAAACGACACTCCCGAGAAAAACAGTACGGAGTGTCTGTTGAACTGCAAGTCAAGCATCTATCGGAATGATCTGCTGTGGACTTATGGCTTTATCTGCGCATTACTTGAGCATAGCAGTTCTGCGGAGCACCAAAGTGCTCGACAAATGATTCGCTTTGACAATGAGACGATACTCGACGTGAAGCCATGCGACCTGAAAACTGTTCTCGCTCTGATTAACAGAATAAAGGCAGAGAAGAACGTCTTGCCGTTCTTCGTTCTGGATGAAATGAGTCCCACCGAGTCTGAAGGGATAAACACGACTGCCTTCCAGCGGAATGTGTTTCGTGCATGCGGTCTTGTAGTCATCGTCATGGGCACAGACTCTAAGGTCACGAACTTATTGGACCAAGTAAAAGGCAGCGACGGGGTGCGGTACAAATGGATGGCGCTTGTTCCCGTATTTCCCAGCTATCAAATAGTGCTGGATAATTCGGATGACCAAGAAACGTGGCTGACGCTTGTGGCGATATATCCTGTTGTGCACGACATTGTGACGCATTCTCGTGGACAATTCTCAAGGTATTTCATGGAACGAGTAGTGAAATACAAGGCTGAAACAAGCGAGGTGGAGCTTTGCCGTTTGTTAGACGATGTATGTGCACATGTCAGTCTGAGAACACACAAAGGAAAAGCGTTTTTGAATTCGAAAAATGGACAATATGCGCAGCTAATGGCGATATCGCATTCAAACGCCGTTGCTTGTGGAGAAAACGAAGAAGAGCCACCTATAAAGAAGACTCGACTGGAAGTGGAGGAATTCGGAATGCATTCGCATTTTGCAAATCTCATTGACGACGAAGTGAAGGATGTTTTTTCATGGAATGGGGAATGGACGACGAATGCCGGGCTATGGGAGCCCAAATGCTGTTTTCCGCCAGTCGACAAAGACGTGCTGTTGTATTTGGCGATCTTGGGTGGGAAAGCCTTTCCAAGCTACTACGATCTTGGCCAGACGCATTTTTCAACTAAGTGCATATTTGCAACGACAGAAGTGTTTTCTGTGCACGAGAACTCCAACG